TGATAAGGATGAGGCATAATAGGGGGTATGGTGTACTAGTAATGTTCAATTCTATGAGAATGTTCCCTTTATAGTAATTAAACATATTCTAAAAGAATGATTTGTACACTTTCTGTAGGTTTGTTAGACACCTACAAAAAGTAAAGACAAATAAAGAAAGAAATGAAAACAAGAGCTTGATGCTAAATATTTATACAGGAGTCCAATATATTGGCCCTTTTGAAGACTGGCCCTGCAGATGAGGCAAGCGTTTACTCTTGGTAATGTTCTTGGGAATTAAATGGCTTCAGAAGTTCTCCTGTATAAAAAGATCTTCCCTACAAGATATTTGTAGATAAATCACACATTTTTTTCCCAAAGATCTAAGACAGAGATATGAGATTACCTAAGCATAGCTGATAGTTCACAGACCTAGCAAGACCTGAGGAAAACAGGCCTGTTACAGAAACAGAAAAATGTCTGTTTTATACAAATATGTCCAAAGTTCCCAAATAATATTTAACTCCACAAGTATTTGAGGACTCTAAACATAACCATCACTGCGTCAGGCATTGTGGAGAAAGACATACATACATAAAGACTGATTTCTGAGGAGCTAAGAACACTAATGTAAAGACACCAGGTTTGTTAAAAACACAAGAGCAATTATAGCTAGAGATTGATTCTAAGAGGGAATATGGAAGATGATAAAGAGGACTAAAGTTAGTGAGAAAGAAAATAGGGTGGGAGTATTGAAGCTGGTTGATCAAAAGCCTTAACCATCACACTCAAAAGTATGAACTTACACCCATAGAAAACTATTTTATCTAAATCCTATTTTCCTTTTTTTAAAAAAAAAATGGTCTTTTCACTATGACCACTTTAAATCACTTTCAGTGAATCCTAATTATTTTCTTGATTGATCTTCTTTAACATAAGTAATGTCAAAATCTAGATACATGATGATTTATCTAGTCACACCTAAAAGGTCTTTGCAGAACATTAATGTTGACTTCTATGACACTTTCTGAAGTAATTAGGAACATATCCCAAAGATCCTCCAAAATCCTGAATAAACAGTATTGATCTCTCCATTGTTTAGACTGCCACTTAGTGTAATGAGTTGAATGAGATACACATTTTCAAGCATGAAAAGATGTCTAATATTTCACATTGTGTTTAGCACAGCAGGCTTTCTACAAGTATTTACTGAAGTGGATAGTTAAATTACACCAAAATATTTTTTAAAGGAGGATAAAATACTGAAAAAAAATTACACCAAAATATAGACCTTACTCATCCCTCTATAGCATGGTAAACTTTGATCATATCTCCCCCTCAAACTTTCTCCAAATCGGGGGGGAAAAATTTTGAAAAATCCCTCAGTCCTTTTGATCAATTAAATTGAGTTTCTGGGGACTTTTATCAGCTGTTAGGCTTTTCTTGAGGAGCAGCTACTAGAATTTCTTCTGTGATTTAAAGGCAAGTCTAGTTTTGATCTTTCACATGGAAAAGATAAAGGTTTTACTTTGTCACTTTTGACATACTTCCCAGTGATGTCCACCATATTCTTAGCTTTTGAAGATCACAAATTGGATCTATTACTCCACAAAAAAAGGTACAATGATTTTTATTTCTATTATTCCATTCTGATAGTCCTATTGTATATTATCTAAGCCTGACACTAATGAAAGGTACCCAGCCCTTGAGATCATCTTTGCCAAGTATCCAGATGAGTCTACAACTACTTGGCTGTTCTAGTCAAAGACAATTAAGATTCCAGAGGATCTGATGTGACTCTCACACTTAAAAAAAAAATCTTTAAAAAATATGAGATACAGTGAAAGAGAGAGAAACATAATGCTATCTACTAGTTTACTTCCTGAATACCCACAAGAGCTGACTCAGACTGGAAGGTAGCAATACAAACTAGGTCTCCCATTGGTGGTAGGATAAGCTGAATTATTTGAGCCACCCTTGCTGTTTCTGGAGTCTGCCTTAGTAGGGATCTGGAGGAAGGAGCAGGAGTCAGATATTGAATCAAGGTATGCTGATACGGGACATGGGCATCTTAACTAGTGTCTTGAATGCAAGGTCAGATATCTACCTGTCCCTCCTCTCACTTTTTATCATCAGCAACTGTGTCCCCACTGGATAGATTTTTCCAACATTTTCTTTGGAAAATCTTGCCTATCTGTCTATTTATCCCAACTTCCCTATCTTCTTTCTATATCCTGTCTAAAATTTAAAAGCTTTTGAGTTAAGAGATAACACACGTGTATCTACAGTGATTTCTAGATTCCTTTCTGGAGTCATAACTAAGAGTCATCATCTCATAAGCATGGATACACTTAGTTTTGCCTAGATATATGACCTTACACAATAAGTGCCTCTTACTGTTCTGCCCACTTACAGGAGCTCATTGCTGCAATTTACTTCTATCAGCTTGCCTTCACTCTTCACAGCTCAATTAGTGAGAAGTCTGAATGAAACCCATTGAAGGATACGTATTTTTATCTTTCTTCCTCTCCATCCAAGAGTTGCTGTAATAGCAGCTGTTTGTGTTGAAAAAACTAAAATATAAAAATATGACCTACGTGGCCAAATCCCACAAGGCTGTTTACTTCCTTATTTATGAATCAGAATCTGTCAGCACAACTTAGAATTTTGACTGTCAGCAGATACTGCAATTAAATGTCCCTGCAAAACCAGCAGAGGGTGCACCAGGGCACTAGAAATTTTACCCAAGATGTAACAGTACTAATTTAACTTCAGTAGCCAATCAACTGCTTTTTAAAAAAATAATTGTTTCATGTTGAGATTAATATCCTCAAAAGTAACCTAAATTGAATATGAACTAAAATTCCTTCAGAGATACTTCAAGTACTTTTGAAAGTCAACTTCAGGAACAATAAAGAATAATGGTTAAACTTAGTCTATTCGAAATCTATGTGGAGATCAACAAAACCAAATAAACCTATGCTTTCTCCTTTGAAAAAAATTTTACTATGGCACAACAGCCTGTTTTCCCTTAAATGGCCCCACGGATAAATAAACACTGAACTCAGAATTAAGAGCGCAACTCCATCCCACTTTTGATGATAGTGTGACTTTGAGCAAGTCATTTCTCCCCCTACCCTAAGGCCTATCTGTTCCCCCAAAAGAGCCAAATAAAAGGGGCATATATGACCTCTCTAACTCTAAAAGTCCCAGCTATATCAACTATTGTGAAGAGCCAGTATCCTTGCTTTCACTGTTCAAAAAGCCTAACACAGAGAGAATAAAGCTGAGAAGACAGGAAGCTGTGTTTAAATACAGACAGAACTATTTTAATGCTATGCAAAGGGCAGGCAACTAAATGCCATTATAGACCTGTGAGAGTCACAGGCCATCACAGAACCCCTAGAATACAGCTGTCCTGCTAATCCTTAGTCTATAAACATAGCTCTGTCCATCCTGAATACCAAAAAGTCTTGGTCACCGTTTGACTAAGGAAGTTGAATTCCACCATGTTTTCACAGAATATCAGTGTTCAGTTGCTAAGTATTTCTACTGGGCATTGAAGAGTAGATAAATAAAGGAGCTAGAATCCTAGTTAATTATCGTTTAGCTACAGTGTTTAAAGTTTCAAGTATGAGAAGCATGTCTGCTGATTCTCTTCTTTGATAAGCTGTTATATAAATTGGAGTGTGTTAGCAAGACATTTTAAGGCTCAGGGCAACTTTGCAATGCACATTGTAAAAATTTTTTTTAAAAATCCAAAAAGTCCTAACTTTACAAAATGATCAAGAATATGATGTCTCTATCAAGCAAGTGAAACTTTGGATGTGGAGTCAAAATAGCAGAAATCACTGTGCTGGAGGAGTGGCAGTGTTTCTGGAAGTGGTGGTAAATATAGAAGGCCTGAGTCTCTCTCACTTCAAGGAACTTAGTTGCACAACTTGCCCTCTTCCCCAAGAGGTGGCTACTAGTCCTTTCCTCAAATGGATCTTCAGATGCATCTCCTAACATTCACATATCAAACTTTTGGCAATCAAGGCAATACTTCCATTACATGCACTACATTTACTCGAATAAACAGGTAGAGAAAAAAAATAGAAAACCACCACCAAAAGTAATGATTTGCTAGTAAAAGCACAAACACCATAAAGCTTGGAGGCGGAGGCAGGGCTGGGGAGGGTACCTGCTCTCGGGAGACCACTCCGAAGTAATTATTCCATTGGTAGATGCCTGTTCTCTAGCAAGTAGTAGGGAAAACGCTGCACACCTATCCTTCCCACCACATTGCCCACCCCCTCACACCTCACTCAAGAGTCGGAAACCAGCATGCAAAGGGTGAGTTTTATTTCCATAGATTTTTTTTTAAATTACTGTTCAGAAGTTGTCTAGCGAGACAGCATATTTCTACTAGAATTCCTCAGGGGCGCTGATCCTCGCCAGAACGCCGAGGACAATCAGTGTCAAATTGCAGGTAAGTGTGAACAAGCCCACGTTCTGGTCAGCGCACAAGGACCCCGCGCTGAAAAGACTGTTCAAAGTTGTTTCAACGGGCGTGGAGCAGTTATTACAGCTGTTTACAGCTCCAACTCCAAAGGAGAGCCTGCTAGTGCTGGCATCAGCTCTGGACACGAAAAAACAAGCACCGCGGGCAGAGAACCTCCCCAGGAGCACCAGGGCCAAAGCTGCTCGCCGTTAGTCGGCCAGGGGGGCAGCGCGGGCACCTCCTTGCCGCGGCCCGGGCGGGAGCTTGGCCAACTTTGCGCGAGGCAGCTCATAGCCTGGGGCGGCGGGTGCAGACTGGAGTTTGCAAGGCGAGAAGAACCTGAGCCAGTGTAGGTGAGTTGGGCCAGGAACCCAGGACAACCTGCTGTGGGCAACCTCGCCCCAGCTCGCCTACCCCTTTCCCTGCTGCCATTTGGCTCGAGGTGGCAGAGTCCTCCCCGGGCCCCGGGGTGGAGGCCCCCGCCCTTCCCACAAGGGGAGGGGGCCTCCGCAACCGCCACCCCTACTAGGTGACTCACCTGGTGCCCGTCCTGGGAGTCAGGGGAGAGTGTGGTTTCGCCCGGTTCCAACGGCTGCTGCTGAGGGGACGGCTGCCCGAGGTGGCGGGTGATGGGAGCGTCGGGGTCGAGGCCACCGGGGTTGCTCAGGGTGCCAGAGGTGCCCGGGCCGCCAAGGCGGGACTCAGCTCCGCGTTCCCGCCGCAACTCGGAGCGCAACTCTAGGTAGCAGCACAACGTCAGCAGGTGGAGGGCCAGCGAGAGGCCAAAGAAACCCAGGAAGAGCCGGCAGCTGTTCCCTTCGCCTGCCCGGGCAGGGGCCCCGCGACAGCCGCAGCCCTGGCTCCCCCGCTCCCGTGGCGCTGCTGCAGGCAGGGGTTCCCTGCGCTCTACCTCGGGGTAACCCATGGCCTCCGGAGACACCTACTCTCTGAGGCCCGGGAGCCGCCGCGTCCGCCTCAGCCCTTCACGACCCCTGACAGGCGGCTACTGTCCTGCCATCGGCTGGGGGCTGCAGGGACCCGTTCCTGCGCGACGGTGGCTGGGCGGGACGGAGCAGGGAGCAGCCGCATGTGCAGCTCCACTCCGAGGGGTGGGAAAGGGAGGAGGAGGGGCAGGAGAGGGGGCTGCTCGGCCCGCCGAGGGAATGAGGGAGGAGGGCCCGACCGACCCCGCCTCATCCCTCTAGGGGCCGCGGGGACGCCCAACCACAACGCCCGCCAAGACTCAGCGCCCCGCCCCCTGCCGTTCCGCCCGGGCCTCCAGCCGTGGGGCGGAGCATGGGGGCGGGAGGGCTTGCCTCAGCTTTGGCGGCCCCACCCAGCTCTTCGCGCTTGCCCCGTTCCAGTTGGTGACTGTCGCTGTCGTTCAGCCTTGGACTCCGCCCTCATTTAACCCTTGAGCGCCAATACGGGGGAGGGAGAGGGGGGAGGCTAAGAATTTGGGAACCTTGGAAAGAAAGTAGAGCAAAGAAAAGGGGGCAGAAACCAGCATTAATAGAAATGTTTGCAATTAACTGCAGTTGTTAATAACATCATCCAGTACTTATCTGTTGCTTTCAATCTTCAAAGCATTTAACAGACGTTAAACTAATTAAAACAGTTCTGGGTTTGGAATGAAACCATGCCTGCTGTGTTTGCAATCCAATGGCTCGCTAGAAGAAAAGGAGACCCAGGAACCTGGAAGCCAGAGGGACTGGGAATCAGGCAGCCTCATTTCTCCAGTGAATCTGAGGACCCAATCCAAGTTAGAGGGAAGATAATCCATGCCAAGTACAATGGAACTGACATAGCTCCCACGAAGGGTAAAACAGCCTTCTGAGATTTCTTGATCTATTAATTCATTAATTCAACAAGTATGTATTGATCCCTTACAGCACAGCTAATACTGTCTGAGATAACCCACAGCCAGAATAGCCTCTTTCAGTTGCTACAAGAGCTTTGACTGGAGAACATGTACCCTCATTGAGAAAATGGGGAAACCGAGGGCCTAAAAGAGGTGGGTTTTTACAAGGGTGGTCCCTAGAATGGCCAGACACTCTTAGCATCTCTATGTGCAGGCAACTGTTCTGCCCTCTCCACCCCTCCCGTATTTCCCTTGGAGTACTCCCTGGGGGAAGTTCAACAAGTCAGCCAAATGTTCCAGATGTACACTGCTGCAAGCTGCAACTGCTGCATCTTCAACAGCTGCACCAATATAAATGGGTTCAAGCAGAAAAAAAAAAAAAGTGGCAAATGTCAGAACAATAGAACCTGAAATGAAGGATGGAACGAATTAGTTAAGTCGAGAGCCACCATTGACAAGAATGACTAGACTCAGATTTTAGGGAGCTAAAGGACCACAGTAGGGTAAATATATTGGAAGGGTCTTCAAAAAGTTCATGGAAAATGGAATTAAAAGATCGATTTAGTGCAAACAATATTTTAAATCCATGCATAGCTCTTTTCTTGGTATATACTTTCCATGATTCTTTTGAAGGCTCCTTGTATGCCTGGATTCCAAAATTCTTTGGCATCAAACTGAACTTGTCTTTTAATTTCATAGACCTTTTTTTTTTGAAGTATCCTTATGTGTTCCTCAGCTAGTAATACACTCTGATTCTGATGATTTTGACAATAATTAGAAATTGTATTCACTTGAAGTAGACGTTTTGAATGCCACCAAAGAGGCACATAATGACCTCATGAGTTAGGCCTTAGACATAGGATAGTGCTAGACAAGAAAAGCAGAAGGACATTTTAAAAAAAGAAGAAGATGATGAGAAGAGAAACAAACAAACGAAAATCCAAAGTATATGGTGAGGAGGTCAGTCCAAAAAAAAAAAAAAAAAAAAAAAAAAACCAAAGCCACCAGCATGTAATATTTTATTCACAGACAGCTTTTCTTCCATATACCGTGTAGATGGTCCCCATACTTCAAAAACATATCTCTTTTTAACTTCTGCCCATGAAAGGCAAAGTTTGCAAAGAATATGATGATCATACATATAAGAGGGAGAGAGGGGAAGCAGTTAACAATGGTTCTCAAGTCCTGCTTGTCCAATCCAGGAATTCTAGATGCTAGGAAAGCTGCCAGGCTGATTTACCTTAATTATAACAGTTCAGGATTGCTGGGAAGAATACTGGACTAGAAGTCATGAGACCGCACCCTGCCAGTAGTTTGCTAGGTCACTCTGAGCAAGCCACTACTTTTTCTTAGCCTTATTTTCCTTAACAGTAAAATGAGGAGTTGGAATTTTAACAGCCATTTCATTATGTTTTATCTGTGGTATCCCTGGCTGTGCTGACTTGGCTGCAAGTACAGTTTAAAGAGGCTGACCCTTCTTCCTCTAAAATGAAAAGGGAACAAAATGACAGCAATCTCCTGGTGGTACTCATAATACTCAAGGGCCATACCAAACTCAACTCAGCATGATCTGTCAGGCTTTTAACAACTTGACTCTGACCCTGGGTTGCACCATGGCCCTCGGAATCCCCAGGAACTGCATTTGACCTGAAACTTCACTTGGTTCCCTGAAGGAAAAACATATGGTTTTACATGCAATAGAATTGTTGGGATGGGGCAATCCAGTGAGGAATGGAAGTGGTTATATATATTTTTTTAATGTTTTAAAGTATTTCTTCAGCTAGCTTCTCTGCTTCCATAAGTACCCTATCCCCTACAACACAGGTTTCAAAACAACAGCCTGAAGGCCACATTCAGTCAACAGCTGTGTTGTGTTTGATGTAATATTGGCTAAAACTTTGAATTAAAAAAAATCAGTTGCTAGCATTTTAAAATCTGGAGGTTTCACATTTTAAAAATCTAGTTTTTCTGCTTTTGTGTTAAATAAAAAGCAAAAGATCTATTCATGCTGGTTCCACATCCTATATGGTTACATTAAACTAGAATTGCCCCCTTTGGGATAAGCATGGACAATCAAATTCCACATTGCCCTTCCTGGCTCTTTCCTCTAGTCTCCAATATTATCTTTGCCAGTCAATTACTTTAACTGTTTGACTCCATGTACTACAGGAGGCAAGATATAAGCTCCTTAGCATGACTTAGCTGCATCTCCAATATTACTTTCTGTCATCCTACATAGAAGCTACTCTCCCACACTGTCACTTCTCACACCTCCACACCTTTTACATAGGCTGATTTCTTTGTCACATATGTCCCTACCTCTGACACCTGATACATTCTTCAAGAATCAATTCACACGTTCTAATATAGTCCATAATCCACTGCAGATATTCTTTATGCTTTCATTGCATCCTGAGCATATTTCAATGATATCAACTACTGCATTGTATTTTGAATGTTTCACACAGCTTTTGCATCACTTCAATGTGAGCTTTTTGATGGTAAGAACTGTGCTTTTTCTGTATTGTTATACCCAATAACTAGCATCGTGCCTGTCACTTTGTAGGCAAGAGCATCGTTTGTCAAATCAATAGGGCAGGCAGTTGGCCACAGTAATCTACCATAGCTAGAACTCTACAAATGGAAATGAATCAAGGGATGATTTTCAATACAGTTAAAGAAGCACTACCTGGGAACCAGTGTCAAGGTGTTGTGGCCACACCTGCATCCCATACCGGAATGTGGGTTCTGGTCTAGTTGTTTCACTTCCAATCCAGTTCCTTGATAATATACCTAGGAAAGCAGTACAAATCGGCCCAGATCCAGGGACCCCTAAAATCTATGTGGGAAACCCAGATGGCATATCAGACTCCCAGTTTAGGCATACTAAAATTATTTGGGTGAACCAGCAGATAGAGGCTCTGTTTGTGCATGAGTGCACACGTGTGCATGTTGTGTCCTGCTCTATCACTCTGTCTTTCAAACAAATGAATTCAAAAAACTTTTTTAGAAAAAGAATCTCACTGCTTGATCACAGAGATATATAGCACCTTATGGAACAATACAAAGGACAGAACCCAATGACAATTATGCATTAATCTCTTACTTGTACTACTGTGCAAATTGCAGATAATCTATAAGAGTAAAAAACCAAATATTCAAATATAATTACTTTGTAATATCTCACTGGCCTTTCTGTTCCATTAAGTTTCTCTTCCTGTTGTTTGGGTCTAATATTAATATTAAAATAAAACTGGTTTACAATTGCTGAATAATAAATATTTAAAACAAGGTGACAATCGCTGAATCTCCACCAACTTAGTGGGAAATTCTAAAAAATTAAGTAAGGTGTGCCAGTTCTAGTCCTGGTTGTTCCACGGAAGATGGCCCATGTATTTGGGCTCCTGCCACCCACATGGGAGATCCGGATAGAGTTCCAGGCTCCTTGCTTTATTCTGGCTCAACCCCAGTTGTTAACGCCCATTTGCAATGTGAACCAGTTAATGGAATCAATCTCTCTCTCTCTCTCTGTCTGTCTATCTCTCTCTGTAAGTTTGCTTTTCAAAATAAATAAGCAAATCTTTTCTTTAAAAAAAAAACTGGATAAGATTGTTTTTAAGTATTTCTTATCTCTGGTTAATGCATAGAATAAATAATTGGCGCATAGATTAGAGAAGTTAATCTGACAAATGTAGTCATACATGTGACCATTTGGGAGGAACACAGACCTCAGATTTAGAGATCCTAGGGTGAATCTCAACTTATTCACTTATCAGCTGTAAGTGACTTAGGAAGAATGATTTCTGTGATATTTTTCATCGTACAGAATCTGAGTTTTCTCATCTGAAAAATGGAGATGGCCATGTATTGTTTGTATTCAAGTAGAATGTATAAAAGAGGAAAGAATTTCCTTCTATATTCTGAGAAACAACAATGAAGTCTGTGAAACAAACCAAGAAGTAGCAGATTAACAAGAGAAAAAGACCCTCAGATTTATGTGTGCATGGTGGCATCACATGAAAGAAAAGGGGATACTCTAAAACCCAGAGAAATCTAGAAGCTTATGTACCTTCGTAGGGAAGATAGCAGGGAAGGAATGCACAAGTAGATTATTTTTGTGGAAATGAACGGGCCCTCAAAAGAATAGGTGACAGACTGGGACAAAGTTTATCTGAGTATGGTATCAGCCTCCACGCTCTTAGCCCGTTACATGAGTTTAATCATCCCTGGCTGGATTCCTATCATTGTGATCATTTTGGAGGATCTCTGTTTACTCAGATAAGGAAATTTCAGAGAAGGCCTTT